TCCTCTATTGCGATCGTATTACTTTCCGTTTTTTGGTTGACATAACGTAAATGTGAACAAATTTGTTACTGTAAAGTGCTTTGAAATATATTTTTCGCATAAATCTTCTGCTTGGTAGGCGTGTGCAGAGCTGAGCAGCGCTGTAAGCGCGACGGTGACTTCCGAACGCTCATACGTCAGCGCCAGTCAGACAGCCAAACTTTAACCGTGCAGGGAAGTGAACTTGAAGGACTTCTGACACTTTATTGGTAACGAAAGCACTGGTGGATACTGATGAATGTAGAAACAAGAACAAAAAAATGAACTCAAAATAAACGTAAAGTGAACTAAAGTGAACTCGGAATAAACCCAAGATAAACTAGCGGATGGCTCGTACTGAACCTATTGTACGTAGTTAACAAATAAGATTCTGCAAACAAAAATAATAAATAAACTTAACAAGATGCAGCTATAATACTTAACTTTAATTAAACCAAACAAAAATAATTACAATTCACAAATATCACAGCACAAATTTAGATCTCACAATATAACTATTATTCATAAAAAATTCACTAACAGTGAAGCACAGAGTGCTTCACGACTAACAGAATGAAAGTGACGCACTTCGGATGATCAAGGTGAACAGGCTTTTTCTCTAAATGAAAATGCTAGTAATGATCGAAAGACAGAAACATTAATAGAAAAATGGGAACAAATTTAACAGAACAAATATAAGAATAACGGTTTAATGATCGCAAAAAAATTATAAGGAAAATCGCGGTACAAAAATTAGAGACGCATGAGCGCGGCTACAGCGCTACTTTGAAATATAGCGGCCGCTACCGCTACCGCTGCATGCTCTAAATGTAGCGGGCACTACCGCTACCGCTACACCCACTAGATTGTATATAGCGAGCGCTGCCGCTACCGCTACAGTAAAATGTAGCGCCGCTACATTAGCCGCTATAATGGCCAAAATTATTGGAAATCTCTAAATATTTATTGTTCTGCTATTGGGATTTTCTCATAAACATTTATTGATAATAAAACATTTTCAGAACATATCAATGCAACTTTATTGCAATTAACCTAATCGAACTAGTACGGGTTATATACAGTAAATAAAAGTTAGTTATTTTTATGTTTTACCTTCCCTACATGGATGTCTACTTTAATCTACCAATCTCAAAAATTATCCACATATACATATAAAAATCAGTCTTTTATTTGTATATATTTATATATACAAATAAAAGACTGATTTTTATATATATGTGGATTATTTTTGAGATTGGTAGATTGGCGTGTCTTGGTCTTGGCGTGTGGTGGTGAGCAGTCGGTTGGGTGATATTCATGGGACGTGGATGTGGATGCATTGGAGAGACGCTTGATGTTTTTTGTGTATTAGTAGTGTCCGTGAGCGGGTTTGATGCCGGGAATGATAAGGTTGTATTATTTTAGGGGTTGAGGTATTAGTGGCGTTCTACTAGTTTTTTGTCCAATTTTTTAAGTATTTGTCTATTTCTACTTGTGTGGCTGCGCGAATGTTGAGTACTGAGATAGAGAGAGTTTTGGTTTAAGGTCCATCTTGCTGTATAGAAATGGTCAAGTTTGCTCTATTATGGGAAAATATGATGATGTCGGGATCAATGTAATTATAAATGTCTCCTAATGTAAATATTTGTTGTGCCAGTGCCGGATATTGTGTTGTAACATTTATAGTGAGAATCCGGGAATCACTGTGGGGAAGGGTGTTTAGATGTGGATTGTTTCGTCTTTTTGGTGGTTATGGTTGGCTGTCCGTCAATGGTTAAGGTGTCGTGAGGAAGGATATTTTTTGTGGGTCTGTTGAAACTTAATTTGACACGTCTGAGTCTCGAAGTATTATTATTTTTTCAAGGTTACATTATTTTTGCTATTGAACATTTTACGTGCGCCTGACTTGTGCACGTGTAACATATTACGATTAATTTGTGAGCCGATGACGCAGAGCTGCTTTTTAAAATAAATTGACAAACGGCCGAATCAATACCACTGTTTGCACGGCACTCGAGCACTGATATGGTGCCTGCATGCAGTCAACCGTCAGTGAGAGCGCCGAGAAGGCAGCGCTGCTGTCAAGACGATGCCGGGCTGGGACGTCCATGCAACGCCAACGAGTGGCCCATAATAAGGCGCCAAAACGGTCGTTTCATCACGGGAGTTGCAGTGATGTGGCATTCACGCGACTGCCGATTGGCATGCGGCCGTAAGAAAGGTTGGCATTAATTTTTAACTTAGTTTGGGCTTCAAGTATTATTCCAGTTTGATTTGTGTGGTGTTGGAATGGAGTGAGTGAGGCTGTGTTGAGGTATGTTGTATTACGTGTTTAGCTATTTTGCGTAAAGCAATAGCGTAAATAGCGATAGCTATTTACGTGTTTTTAGCTGTGAAGCTTGGCCTAGTGATCTTTGTTGTTTCCGGGCGATGATTTATTTTCTGTATGGGCGTTGGGCCAACTGGGCTGTTGGTGGCGAGTTCGTGTTCTTGTTGGCAATTAAGGCATTTTTAAGAAGTGTTTTAGCGCATTGTGTGCAGGTATAGTCCTGAGATACGCACCCAGAGCAGGATTGCCTAGTACGTATACATAGCTAATAGGGTGGTCGTCAAATTTATAACACTTGTAACAAATGAAGACTTGAGCGGTATTTCTCTTGTTCGCAACGTAAGATTGTGATCTTGGTGTCGAACATGGAAAAGTAATCGTTGAGTTTGCGTTTTGCCATGGTCACGGCAGCAGTGGCCCAGTGGTTACAGTTCAGAGTACCAAGATTGGCGCAGAGAGGCTCCGGTTCGATCCCAGCTCTGTGCGCCAGTTTCTGGTCAGAATCGGCAAGGAGGCCGGGCGGTTAAGCACAGCAGAATTTGGAGCAGTGAGTTGCGAGTTCGAGAACACAACAAGCTGAGAATGTTCAGCGATGTTAAGAATCGACGAAAGGCCTAAGGCCTAATAAAAACGCTGAAATCGCTATATTATTATGATTGTGATGGTCGAGGTCATTTTAAAAACACGGGTATGTTTATTTTTTGAGTTCAATAACGTCTTGACTGTGTATCCAGTGCTGTAATTTTGTGAATTCATCCTGAATTTCTGTCGGAGTCTTCCGACCAGTGTCCTTGTTTAGTTGTCGCACGAAGACGGTGCGGTTAGATCGGAGGCCAGGTGGTATAATTGGACGCAGGTTGATTATTCGGGAAAGTTCCGTCGCTTTTTTATGTCCATTCATCAATGACTGTGGCATCGTCCAATACCTCATAATAGCTGGTTGCGTTGTTGCTAAGCCTGGTCAGTGGAGTGATGAAGTCACGGAAGATGGTTTGCAATATAACGGGTCTGTCAAAGGGGAATCTAGGACCGATTTTTTTTAGAGGAATTCTGAATGACTGCTGCCTTAAACTCTGAGGTTGCTTTAGGGTTGAGTCTGTTCGAAGTCTGTTGATGGATCAAGATGAAGTGATGAGGATGGGAATGAATCTTAACAAATTGATGCTCCTAGTCCGCGTGGACGTATAGATGCGACGGACAACCTTCTGCCAGGTGCGTGTGTGCCGCGTCTCCCAGCTTGTTGAGGTCATCTTACAGGAAAGCAACGTCATGTGAACTTCTGATTTGGGAGTAGAGCGTAGTGTCGTCCGCCAAGAGTCCGACCTTGTCACGGATTCCGTCACATAGATCGTTGATATTGATCAAGAAGAAGATAGGCCATGAAACGAAAACTTGAGGCATACCTGAGATGATCCGATGCTGCAGCTCACACCTTCAACAATGACTTGCTGGGTGCGGCCTAAGAGGAAGTGGAAATCCATGTCTTGGTCTTGCCCCTGATGCCATAATAGTCCTGCTTAGTGAGTAGGTGCTGATGAGGTACCATATAAAAGGCCTTAGAGAAGTCGAGCAGAATCATGTTGGTCTAGCTAGCTTTGTCTACCTCCGATGCGAGGTCATCCGCCCTCAGTGTCAGCTAAGTTTCGAAGGACCTTTTTTCGTAAAGCCGTGTTTTGCGTCGCTGCAAAAGGTGTTTCCGGTCGAGGTTGGTACTGATCTCCGATCTGATTATATGCTCCAAAAGCTTACAGCACACATGTGAAATAGATGGGCCTCGATTTGGCAGCCTGACTATGAAATCCCTTTTTGAACTACGGCTGCAGCAAAGTGTGCTTACAAATGGCAGAGACGTCCTCTGTGGACAGCGAATTGTTAAGGACAGTCGTCAATTCTGGTGATAGTTCAGAAGTCGCCATGGGATCTTGTCCAGGAGGGCCGCTTTCCTGAGGCTTAAGGCTAGAAAGAAGTTTCCCCACTCACATGATTGACACAGAGGTGTCGGATGGTTCGGGTGCGAGCGGTTGGCCTAGTAGGAAAGTATGAGAGATCTTCTCTGGTCTGAGAGATCTTCTCTGGCATTCCAAAATTCGTCGTTGAGAATGCCTGCCTTCGCCCTACCGTCGGTGACCGTCAGTCCGTCCCTCTTCAGGAGTAGGGGCAACACTCTTCCTGCCGTATCGCTTGCTCCTGAGCAGACGGCTGAAGTTGTTCCTTGCATCCATCTATAAACACAAAGTGCTTGATGTAGTGTTGATAGCACTGTCTCTGTTTGTGCGTCGTGCCCTTTTTTTCAATTCATAGTTTTTCTCCCATACTTCTTTCCTGGTGGCAGACTTTGCCTATCCATAAGCTGGACTTGACAAGAAATCCTTTCCCTAATTAAGTGATGTGTATGTCTATACTTATCAATGGCTTCTTAATTTCCAAACCGATTTCAACATCTTTTTAGATTTTGGATTGAGATTTCAACTTTAGGATTGATTGGATTGCAAACTGAAAATTGTAAAGCTGTGCAGAAATTGAAACTGTCACTTGCTGTAAAAAAAACAATCCAAATTCTTTGAATAATTGTGTAAAAATATTTAGTATTGTCCCGTTTTAGAGAGGCAATCTAGAATGATAATAATGGCAAGTGTCCTGCAGAATATGAAATATGTTCGTGTTGGATTTTCGTTGTAAAGTTTTCAAACTTTAGAAGCAATCGTTAGAACGGAAATAGGCTACAGTCTGCGGCGATCGCAAAACATTGGCTTAGTTTGGCTAAGTCTCAGTTTACCGAATACCGATGCATGGGTCCAACCCGGGAGCGGATGGGTGATTGCTGGCTGAAGTGACAAGTGAGTCTGAGTTATATGCATAAATCCGTTTCAGTACGAAGCTGTGAATGTCAGATGCTGAAGCTTTCAACTTTCGCGTTCCATATATCGCGTTAAAAAATTTCAGCAGAAGTATCCCTCTATGAGGTAAGGCTGCACTAAGCCAAGTACCTATTTGCTTTGCTAACATTCCTTGACTTTTTTTTTAATTAGGCTATTCAAGTATTTTTAGCTCAAGATTAATATACTTTGTTTTGTGTTTTGACAAGTATATATTATAATATTAATAAGTATACCTACTACCTAGTTTTGCTTCCCACTTGTCCAGATGATTGGATAGGGCAATAGGTTGTCATATTTGTATCAGTAATGTTTTTAGTTTATGGAAACCATTTACGTTCAAAAGTTATTTATCTGTTTAATGTCAATTGTGATGAATTGTCAAAGGCTCAATCAACAAGATTCAAGACCTTATGCTATAGGTAGGCATTGGGCTTAAAGATAAATTGAAAATTGGGCTGAAGCCACAAACTTCTGTGAATCTGGCCAATTGCCAATTCCAGCCCTTTTTATGGCCTATTTAGAATTTCTTCAACTTAGTGGCAAAGCTGAGGCTTTTTAAACTCTTTGCTAAGTTCATCTTTGAGTGAAATTGAGTCCTAAGGCTAATGTCCTATAAGTTAAGACAAGTTACTGCTTTAAAGTAAAGTATCATGGATACCTGCATTATCATACATAATATTTTGGATAAAATCTTGACTCTTGAGTAGGTAAGGGATAAAATTGGAAATAAACTGAATCTGGAAACCTATCTTCTGCAATTTGAAATAAGAAAAACAGAATGATTTTACAGGCAATTTTAAGAAGCACCTGTAAAATGGTTGTATTTGCCTGCAATTTTAGGAAACTTCTGCCTGATATTGGACATAAATGGCTATTAAATGCTCTAGGGCATAGTGCATAGACATTTAGACAGTGATAGACTGCTACAGTGCCACTCAAGTTAGTTGAAGCTGACCCATCAGCACAACACTCAAGTGAGTGAATGAGGTAAATACTAATCTGGATTATTAAACAGAATTAAAAAATATACATATTTGAGTAAAAGTTTCAATTTCACAGGTTATTTACATCAATCCCAAGCAAAATCAGATCATTTTCTATGCATTTTATGAAAGAAATTGAGGCAGAGGCCATATTAATCACTGAAAGAAAGGGAATATTAGATGTAATAATACATCTGTTCAAACTCTGTAGTCTGTCCTGGTGACTGGCATATGACCTGGCAGTGCTCTGTCACGGCAATTGTAATGCTCATATGTCCATTCCCTTCATTGCTAAAAAAGCTTCTTTGCCTCATATTATCTGGAATAAAAAATCCAAATGCAAAATCTAAGACAGGCTGATTTTAAAGTTGAGATAAATATTTAAGATTTAAATGTGGATACTGTTTTCCATTTCTGTTTCCAATCTGGGACTATTGTAGTACGTACCATATATATATGAAGTTTTAGGTAAAATTGATTATTTGGTGTTCATGTTATGATGTTAGTAAGAAACAACAATGATAAAAATAAATGCTTCAATTAATCCATCCTTCAAATTGTACCATGTCAGAATTCTTACCATGAGGCAGGCCTGAAATAGAACTACTACTTATAAAGACAGGACTGGAGCTGTCCTGTTTTTTAGTGTGCTTTGAAATTCCTGCTTGATGGATTATTTCCTTATTTATTAAGTCTTGACCAAAGTTTATGATGTAGCCAGAGGATCTCAAGATTATTTAAGACATTGAGTGCAACACGACCCACCAGGGTTACCAGATGTTTTTTTATATCATGCATTTTTTTCAATTGCATTGAATTGCAGAAATTTATGACAACGGTTCTTCATTATTGTATGTTACAAAATATATAAGAGGAAAATAGGATTTTTGCCCCACAACCTACTGACATGCTAGTAGGTAATTATTGAATTGTGTCCCTTTTTGGCATTTTTAGCGCATTTTCTCATTTATGGAAAAAATGCACTATTGTGCTCGCCATGTCCGTCTGTCTGTCTGTCTGTCTGTCCATGACCTCAAGTTTTCGTCGATGAGAAAATGCTCTCTCTGTCACTCACTGCAGTGAGTACTGAGTTATATTTTTTGTTCTGTGACTTGGGATGTTTGTTCTGTGACTCCTCAACCCAATTGATGGCCTCACCCCTTGGTGGATGGCCCCACCCCTTGGTGGATGGCCCCACCTTACACTCAACCTGTTAAAATATCTCACTTTGGAGTTGAAGTAGGAATTTTCCAATTTTTTCAGGTAGTAATCATTTAGCAACTCCTTTAAAATATGAGCTAGTAATTACAAAATCCAAATGACATCATCTAGGGGAAAAACAACTCAAACTTAGCTACAGATTGAGGTGCCAGATCATGCCTAGGTCATCATGTTGTTCAATTAGAACAACGTCCTAATATTGTTCTAATTAATTCATAGAATTACCACACTACTTTTTAGCATTTACCATCCAGTCATCAAGCTAAAACTGTTATAAAGCTTATGTCATCTCTTCATGACTTGAAAGTTCCTGACAAACTCAGCCAGGTTTCCTTCATCAACATGCGTTTCTCTATGTAAAACTGCAGCGTGCCTTTCTTCCTGGGTCATTTTCAGCTTTCAATTTCTCAACCAAGTGTGTTTGCTGTGTTGAAATATAGAAGCAAAATTAATTATGATTAATCACTCAAGTTTTGAAGAAGATTCTGTTTCTTTCTAACAATTATGTAATTCTGCTTGATCACCTGACTGAGAAAAGTGTCACAGCTTAGGCTCATTTTGCTTTTGTTTGTGTACATATAGTTGATGTAGGTAAGAGGCTCATTTCTTTCTTGGAGTGCAGTACTTGAGTGCATGGTGGTTGCCAAGCACTATGGTTGTGTGGTGTTGGCACTGGTGCAGGTGATTGTTTTGGTTTCGATCACATTTGTGGTGGTGATGGTGGATCGTGTGATGCTTGTGGTGTGGTTGTGTTGTGCTGGTTTGGCTGGTGGTTATTATTATTATTATTCTATGAGCATTTATCGTGGCGTCTAGTTCAAACGAACTTCGATAGCACGTTATACATATATAAGGCCAGGAGCAAGCAAAATATAAAGGGATACGAGGAAGGATGAGAGTTGATAAAAAGGACTAAGCACTGATTCACAGGTTATAAGAAATAGTTCCGTCTTTAGGCGTCGACGAAACACTTGCAACGAAGGAGCCGATGTTGCAGAAGCCGACAGACTGTTCCAAGTTCTTGCGGCGGCGACCGGGAAAGTTCTGTCGCCGACGTCAGATAGACGTGTAAATGTAACGACAAGGTCCGCTGTTGATGACGAACGCAATCGTCTTCTAGAAGGCAGATCTGACCCGCGCTGCATACATTCCGCGAGATAAGGAGGCGCCAGACCATGCAGGCATCGGAACTTCACATCAGCGACCTTGAACTACGTGCGCTGCTGCATGCGCAGCCAGTGAACATCGCGCAATGTCGGCCTCACGTGGCCGAATTTTCGCTTATTGGAAAGGAGTCGCGCAGCAGCGTTCATTACGGATTGCAATTTATTGAGTGCTGTGGTCGGGAGTGCATAGAGAGTGGCATTACGGTCGTCTAATCTGGTCAGGACGAGCGCCATCATGAGGGCCTCACTTTATCATTTATCATTTATACAGCGGCGGACGCTACATACAGCCCGACGCAAAAGGTTAGCCCCACCCATTTAAAACATCATAACACATCGAGTTTTGCGAGTTTTATTGTGCAAATGGTGGCAAACGAATCGTCTTGGTCTCAGTAATCAAAATACAATAGACTGTAGTGAAAATGTAATTAGTAACGGAGAAAATGAAAAACACATGTGTTTGCACCGACGCAAAAGGTTAGCCCCACTTTGTACACTTTGACATTTTAAGCAAAACAAAACATATGTCAGCTGCAAAACTAAAAGTTATTTACCGATATGCTCCCCGTTGGCTTTGTAGACATCCAAGCACCGCTTTTCCGTGCCCTGAGACAATCTACGGAGGTAGTTGGGGCCCAGATTGGACCAGGCGGCTTGAATGGCCAACTCGAGTTCTTCCTTCGTGTCATACTGCTTCCCGCAGGCTTAGACGATCCCAGCCATGTACCCCCAGACGTTCTCAATGGGATTCAGATCGGAGGACTTGGCTGGCCAGTCCATAACCCGGATTTTGGCACGCTTGAAGAAGGCCTTGGTCGTGCGCGCCGTATGGATTGAGGCATTATCTTGTTGGAAGATGGCGCCGCGGCGAATTTGGTGGCGGATGACGGGAAGTAGATGGTCCTCGAGCGCTTGGACATAGTCGTCCGCGCACTGGTTGCCTTCGAGGAAGACGAGCTCGCAAAAAACACGAACCGCTTGATTTTTCCGCCAGTAATTAACTTCTTCACCAAATTTTACCTGCTATAGATTGCAGAGCGCAAGACAAATCGTTTGCCACCATTTGCACGTTAAAACTGGCAAAACTCGATGTGTTATGATGTTTTAAAGTGGTGGGGCTAACCTTTTGCGTCGGGCTGTATTCGTCGCAGAGCGCCAAAACAAGCGGTGTTGACTTTGACCATGTGGTGCTGGTGCGTGTGATGGTGGTGCGAATGATGGTAAGGTTGTGTGGAGATGGTGGAGCGGATGATGGTTGTGGTGGTGTGGGTGATGGTTGTGGTGGTGGTTGTGTGGTTGATAGTTGTGGTGTGGGTGATAGTTGGGGTGGTGGTGTGGGTGATGGTTGTGGTGGTGTAGGTGATGGTTGAGGTGGTGTAGGTGATGGTTGAGGTGGTGTAGGTGATGGTTGAGGTGTAGGTGATGGTTGTGGTGGTGGCGGCGTAGGTGATGGTTATGTTTGGTGTTAGTGGTGGTGCGGGTGATGGTTGTGGTGTGATACTGATGGTACGAGTTACGGTTATGGCGTGCTGGTTGTGGTACGGATGATGGTTGTAGTGCAGTGTTGATGGTTGTGGTGTAGTGTTGATAGTTTTAGTGCGGGTTGTAGTTGAGGCGTGATGGTGCGAATGTTTGGATGGTGAAGGGAAGGACGAACCATCATGAGAAAACGAACGAGTTCGAACTATTTGATAGCGGCCTTTTCCATGGATGT